GCAGGTGGGACCCCAGACCACTCACTCCTGGCCCAGGGAGATGAGAGAGGAGACTGCGCAGTTGGAGACCCCCTTGGAGGCAATTCAGACCACGTGGGAAGGGGACGCGGCCCTCTCCAGTTGAAGACGTCCCCCAGTACTGACAGATTGCATGGATGGATGCAGGGCTGCCGTCGCCGGGTCAGTCCCAGGATACTGGAGAGACAAAGTGGGTGAGGGAATGTCTTTTATTGGACCAACTTCTGTTGCAGAGAGACCCAAGCTTTTGAGCTTAAACATGACCCGAAGAAGAGCTCTGGGTAAACTCCAAAGCTGGTCTCTCTCACCAACAGAAGTTGGTCCAATAAAAGACATTCCCTCCCCCACCTTTCTCAAGTGCCCTGAGAAATCCCAGCACGTGGGGTGGAATATTACAGTGCTCTTTGAGCTAGGGCAGTCTCTCAGAGCAAGACCAAAGGCTCAAGTCTAGTTGTCCATGTCCTATCAGACAAAGGGGAGCCCAGGCTGCCTCCTGGGGGTGCACACAGCACCCCACAATGCTGGCAAGCTACTGCACAGTGACTACACAGAGTCCTGGCAGTCCCCAAGGCTGGGAACTCCTGGGGTTCTTAGCCCACCACCCAGCCTGTCAGGGCATTGCAGACACACTGCCTCTGCTTCCCCAGCTGTAAATGGGGGGGGTCGCGTTCCCCTCCCCCACAGGACAGAGCTTGGAGAATGACATGCGTGCTCGGAATGCGATGGACTATCCAGAAACCCAGCAGCAATGGGAAAAGGAGACTTGTCTGTAGAAGGCGCAGGAGAGAGAGGTGGGGAGGGGGTGGATTGGGAGCTGGGTCCAGCACTGGAGAGACTGGCAAGAAGACAGGTCCCTTTATACCCGGAGAACAGCCGGGGTGGAATGAGGAAAACCCATTTGCCTCCAGAGCAACGCCGGTTCAGCCTTTGAATTCTAGCGCAGGGTGCAAACTGCAAGCCCTGCCCTCAATGTGCTGCAGCCGGGCCTGGCCTGGCGCCTTCCGGCCCTTTCCCCTCCAGCCTGAGGATAGACGAGGGGAGGTGTAGCCATGGGAGCCTAAGGTCGCTGGCCTGCAGCATGGCTTGGATCCTCCGGTCTGTGCATCTTAAGACAGACCGTAGGCATCTCCCACTCAACCTGAAGACAAACGACTCCCCATCCACTGTATTTCTGCATTTTGGCTCCTTCTCACGCTTTGTGCTTCAGCCCAGGCTGAGCACGGGGGCTCCCTGAACACAGCTCTCGCTTGTTAAGCTCTGCTCCCCGGCCACAGGGCCCGGGTCAGCAGGCCAGCCCAGTAAATCTCGCCTGCTGCTGCGAGAGGCTGAGCAAGGCCTGGAACAAAACCATGAGGTGATGGCCCAGCTGTCCCGGGGCGGGCAGGGTGGGGGGAGGAGATGGTCACTTAGAAACTGCCGAGCAACGGAAGGCCGCATTGATCCAGCCAGGCCAGGCCTTGTCCAGAGGGCAGGGCCGTTCAATAAAGGGGCCAGGCTCCCACCTGCACAGGGACACACAAGGGCCAGTGTGAAGGAATCAGGCAGACAATGGGAGGCAGGGCGAGGGCTGCAGATGTCTGGGCTTTGGAGCGGTGCCCCTCCTCCCTGCCCTCCGCGGCTGGAGCTTTGCAACTGCCTTTTACCGAGGAGCTGGCTCAGGCCCCTCACTGCTGCGGCCACCCCCTTCCCCCAGCCTACTCCCCTTTAGCCAGGCCATACTCCGAGGCTCTCTAGCCTGGGGGGAGGCTGAGTGCAGGCTGGAGGCTAGTGGGGCCCAGAGCTGAAGCATGTTAGGACTCCTGGCTGCAGCTCCACGCTGGCGGCTGCACTCATGGCAGAGGGAGCTGCTGCAGGGGGATCCGAGCCAGGCAGGCAACCAGAGGACAGCTCTGTGCACGACTCCACTGTGGCCTGCACGGGGACAGGACAGCACAGGGCTGGAGAGCAGGGGACAGTGCCCGATGTGTCGGCCCAGCCGGACGGGTGAGAGGGAGCTGATCCCAGAAGCGATACGGTGCCCGGCTGGGAGCAAGGGCGATCCCGTATGAGGCAGGGTGCATGCATACAGCCGCCAGGAGCCAGGGCAGGCTAAGCACATTGGGAGAAGGCGGCGAGAGATGAGGGCACCACAGTCAGCAAGGGCCAGATTAAGGAAAGCAGAGGCCTTAGACATAATGTAACATCTCCCAGCCCCCATGGCTGGCCCCCAGCTCTCCCCTCCACTTGCAGTGACTGTGGCAGAGAGACCCCCTCCCCGAGTGGCAGGGGCAGCACCTCTCTCTCCAGGAATGGCAAAGGGCCCCCCATCTACCCCCAAGAGACAGAAAGGGGACGCCCCCAGTACTCACATCACAGCTGCTGCCGGATCTTGGGGAGATGAGCTGGGCCGGCTGCACTTTTCTCCACCTACCCCACAGCTCTCTGCTGGTACGGTGTGTGGCTGGAGGTGGGTTGAGTAGTTAAGCACCCCCTGGAGCTGGAAGGGCAGTCCACCCTCTGCGCTAGCAGTTCAGGCTTCTGCACACTCAGATCCCATTGTCAGTGTTTCTTGCGCAACCAGGACTAATTTTCCCCCCCCTTTTAAAACCACCAGCCTGGGCTTTCAGTCCCACGACTCCCACAGCCTGGGCCCTGCCACAGCCCATAGTGCTTTTATTTAACCCAACTTTGGGATTAGCACAGGTGCTGGGCAAAAGCAACAGTTCTAGTTAAGGCAGTCTGAGGCTGGCAGTCAGGGGCCCCAAACCCGCAGCAGTGCAATGCAGTGCAGAGCAGAACATCCCTTTCCAAGGGAGGGCAGTGAAGCCCTGCGGGCAGCAGCACTGGCACCCCCATTGGACAGGACTGGCCTCTCCCAGACACCGCGGCTCTCGCTGATCAGCTTCCCTGCGTGCAGGATCTACGTGGGTACCGAGGAGGCGTCCCCTCCCCCCCACATTCCTGCAACGAATCACTGACCCTGCCCTGCTTCCTTTAGCTAAGGGAGGGAATCGAACAGCTGCTCCCCTGAGTCCTGCAGGGAAAGATCACGACAGGTAACAGCTCCATGCTGCACCAGGCCGCACGTCCAAGGCCAAACGCAGAGGTGCCGTAAGAAGGGGTAGAGGAGTCTCTACAGCTCCAGCGGGTAACCGCTTACAATCAGAAGCATCTGACCTTTGCTCCGAACATGTTGAGATCCCTGCAGTTTCCTCTATCCTGGGGCAAAACTCTCACTCAGTCTGCCGGGGAAACGAAGTTAGCTGGGTCTCCCTACTGGCTAGACAGGGGAAGAGAGTGTCAATTCCTAGAGTTCTCTGCTGCTAGCCTTCCCCTTCCAGAACCACAGCAGGGCAGGCTGGGAAGAGAGGCCCGAGGTCACAGATGTGTGGGACCCATTCAGAGACGGAAGCTTCTCCAGCCCAGAAAGCGATAGGGCCCAGCAGTTTTTAAGGAGACCCTGAGCCACAGCAGTGCCCAAATGCACAGACTGGCAGGAGCAAGGATGGTTTCTATCTCTGTGTTTGTAGGACAATGGGGCCCTGATGCTGATCGGGGTCTCTGGGCACAACCTACAGAAGGCAGAGTCAGACGTGGATTGTCAGCCTCAGTCCCCTTAGCTGAACGTAGGCCTGAACACTGCCTAATTCCTTCGCTCCGGGTCAGGATCCTGGCTATCGGACTGGCAAGACTGGGGCTCTAAGCCCCAGGAGTTAAAGAGGAGAAGCCTCAGGATTTAGGGCAGGGAATGGATCTGACACGTTTATGTTGTCTCCTCCTTCCGGCCCCCGCCTCTGGGGTATATTTTCTGGCTCCGTTATACTTGGCATAGGACAGGCAACACACATCAGGCTAGCCCTGATCACCTTCATTTCTCCCTGCCCAGCACCTCTGCTTCCCCCCCCCCCCTTTCCACCTGCTCTGAGCAGTGACAGGCCCCCAGGGGACCCTCTGTCCTATTCCCCACCCACCTTGCAACGCGAGCTCTAGTGCTTCCTTCTGAGGTAGGTCACGGCTTCTCTTCCATCAGCAGCTGCTGGGTTCGGTTCTTCATGGAAGCAGCAAGCCTTCCACCCCTTGTCCTGCCAGGCAGCAGCACCCCCTGGCAGGTGGATCTCCTCCCCAGAGGTCACAGCAGGTGGTGTTCCCACCATGCAGCTCTCCCTGGCACCGTGGGACCGCCAGCGCCCTGCAAGTCACTAGAAGCGCCAGCAATGCTCTCCCCAGAGACGCTTCACAGGGGCAGGGGACAAAGCGCAAACAGCCACTTCCACTAGTTCCACTGCCGCTTTGCTATTGGCCAAGGAGGGGTCACGTGATCTAAGCCAAGCCAATCGAGTGGGGTTCTCAAAGCCACCTCAGCTGTGGCTCCCCGACTCCCACGAGACGTTAACGGGAGAGGAAGGATGTTAGGGCCCAGGCTGAGACCCAGGGTCAATTCTCTGCTCTGCCACAGACCCCGTGTGACCTTGGGCAGGTCGCTGTGTGCCTCAGTTTCCCATGTATACAATGGGGATAATGGTTCAACTCTGCCCCCTGGGGCTTTGTGCGGATGAGGACAAAGGTGGACTGGTGCTCTGATACGAGGGGAATGGGGGCCAGATGAGTACCTGAGACAGAAATTAATGGGAAAGAGGCATCCAACTCCTCCAGGCAGCCAGCCCCACCCTTCCTCTCTGTCAGGGGCCAAGTCAGTCACGTGAGTGTGTAGCAAACAGAGGGAGTGATTGGACAGTTCTCAGAGAAAAGCACTTTCCTAGGCTAAGAGAAAGTGACCCCCCCCAGCCCACTAGACAGTGATGCTGGAGGTCACTTTTTAGCTTAAAAGTAATGAACCTCATCTGCACTCAACACACTCCAGGCAGGACTGCACCCAGAGCAGGGGCCAGGCGACCCCCGATCCGCTGCTCTGGGGTAACGAGTGTCCTCCCCGCTGGGGCCCAAAGGGAGAGGTGAGCTCCCTCACCCACTTAACACCAAGGATCAGACCCAGACAGCTCCTCCATCCTTCGAGATGGTTTAATATGAGAGAAAGCGAATCCACAATACAAAATTTAAAAACCAGCCCCTTGGTTTTCCCCCTCCCCTTTTTTCTACCCATTTAGGAGATGACAAAAAAATGAAATAAAAGAAGGGAGCATGGCTGCCCAAAGCGCTGCGTGGCCGAGGACAGGCCCCAGGTGGAACGTCGGGATGGCAGAAAGACTTCAGACAGAGATGTGGCTTACAGAGATTCTCCCATCCCGACACACACACACACACACACACCACGATGCTGATACACAATTGGTCTTTTTATCTTTATCCCTTGCGATGGGGCCTGGATCCCAGCCTGGCCCCGACACGCCCATCCTGGCCCAGGCGTGCAAGGTCACTTCTCTTTTTTATCCGTTTCCATCCTTGCGTCTTTGGAGTCCCCAGGCTCCTCCTTTGGCGTGGAATTCTCCTCATAGCTGAGGGCAAGAGAAGGAGAGGATGTTGGGAGTTAAGCAGCTGCAGTTCTTAGGAAAGTCAGCGGGTGGGGACCGTGTGGATCAGGACCAAGGGCACGAGCACTGTCGGCCAGCTGCACAGAGAGCGGAGCTTTCCAGCCCGCCCCTAGCAGTGCAGATCACTGGGCTGTACACCCTCCACGCAGGTGGGGAGAACAGCTCCCACGGTCACTGCCGTGTTACAGCGCCGGACAGTGGATTCAGCTGAAGTCACTGGGATAGGGGAGGCTGACAACGGCCATCCTGAAGACAACGTAAGATGCACTGTCGTACCTCCCTCCCTCACCACAGACAGCCCTCCCTCCCCTCCCCAAATATACATTCCAAACCGAGAAGAGAGGATTTCACCAGGGCAGCAAGGCGCACACGCAGATACACTAACATGCTCCAGTTTCAGAGTAACAGCCGTGTTAAGTCTGTATCCGCAAAAAGAAGAACAGGAGTACTTGTGGCACCTTAGAGACTAACAAATTTATTAGAGCATAAGCTTTCGTGGACTACAGCCCACATACAGATATGCATCCGAAGAAGTGGGCTGTAGTCCACGAAAGCTTATGCTCTAATAAATTTGTTAGTCTCTAAGGTGCCACAAGTACTCCTGTTCTTCTTTTAACATGCTCCAGTCGGCCCACTGAGCACGCCCGCCGATGGACACCCGCTCTCGGTCAAGGGACTGAGAATTCAGCTCAAGGCAGCCCTGGCTTGTGTAGGTGGTACATGGATCTGATAGCGCTGGCTCCCAGCGCCACGCAGAACATTCGGACATCCTGAATAAAAGCATTGCCCCTCGACACTGCCCCTCTGTACAGCGTGGCATTGGCATTTTCACCAGGCCAGACGGGCCAGGCTGCGAAGAGCACGTGTGCCTGGGACAAGTGACCTCAGTTAAGCCAGCAGCCAGGGGGCAGGCTATTCAGTAAGGCAGATTTGGGCTTCTTCTTTCGGGTGGCTGGCTCTGGCTGTATGAAGGGAAGAGCGTCCACAGAGGCCGTTCAGGGATTGGTTCCCTGGGGCACCAGAGGAGAACCTGGTAGCAAGGCCTTCAGGCAGACGGTGGAGAGCTGAACACGTGCAATGCTGCCACCCACGCCTCGGACACCTCTGAACTAACGACACCAGGCACTTGATCCCGTGCATTGGGCTCACGAGCTGGGTTCAGACTGGGCAAGCGGGTGGCCTGAAGGTGCTCTGGCACTTAGTGTGGTGACCCAGGATGCCGTCAGGGGAGGGGCACCAGGTCAAAGGCGGAAAGAGTGAGACCAGCCCATCGCAGCGAGGCAGATGGCCACAGCACAAGCCAGACACCGTGGAGCTGGGAAGGAGTTTGACAGAACAGGAGAGACCCTACCTGGCCAGACAGAGACAGACAAAGAAAGGGCATCAGGTGCGATTGCTACATGGCGCTGGGGCTTTGCTGCCGGCGTCGGCGGGGACAGGACAGTTTCTGCTGCATGGAATCGGCAAGGCTGGCCGGAGAACCCGACACGGTTGGGAAGTGGGTAAGTCTTGGTGTGTGTGGCAAGATTTCAGCAGAGGATTCATAGCTGCAGGAAAGACAGGAAGCAGGAAGGGGACAGAGAGGAATGGGATAGAAGGGAAAGAGAAAGAAAGGAATAAGAATCGCTTTGAGTGACAGGTCTGCAAACACTCTGCCCTGCAAAGCCTGCTTGCTGTCTCGTAACCCGCACTTCTGGCCCCAGCACTGGGATGAGCTGGGCGGCTGGGTACTGTATGAGAGCCCTGGGGACGCGAGCCTACACGAGTGCAGCTGTATGAGGCATGAGGGGCCGAGGTCTATGGCATGGCCGTACCTGCAGTGACACCACGGAGAGCAAATGGACAGGGCTCAGCAGGAGAATAGAATTGGGCACCAATGCACAGAAGTGCACACAGGGTAGGGCCAGGCCCAGAGGCCTTTGAGAGGCAGCAGACCAGTGCATGCAAAAGCTCTTCCATTACAGGTCTAGGCCGGCTGCTGTGCTCGCTATCGGATTTCCTGGGATTAATTCAAAGCACAAAGGGAGATGGGAGGTTGGGGACCTGCCTAAGAGGGCTCTGCAGGGACACGAACCCCAGAGAGTTCGCTCCAAGCTGGGTGCCGCCTAGCTCTGCTCCAGCCTGCATTCCACCCCTCTTCCCCCCCCCTGACCCCATATAGCTAACTGTTCCCCCGGCTTCTTCTCCCATGTCTTCCTGGCTGCCTCGCCAATCCCCTCCGTAGCCAGGCACAGCACCGCCCCCCTCCTCTTAGGGCACTGGCTCTGTGAAGCCCAGCAGCGTGTTTACAACTGCCCGGCCATTGAAAATCCCGCTGCACTGAGCAGCAATTCTACTGTTTGGGCACTTGGTGCTGTCCAAAACCCGTAAGCTCCTCGGAGCAGAGCCACGTCTCCACGTTCAATACACACGGACTGTGGGCCGAGAGCTCGTGTGGAATTTAGGGCCAGGGCCCATCCTCAGACTGAGGTGTGCTGCCAGAAGCACAGGTGGCTGATGGAGACGCATGGAGCAGCTCCCCATCTCAAATCACAGACTTTCAGCGCTCACAGGAACACAGGCTGCATCAAAGCAACCTAGGATCCTACACCTGGTGGAATTCCTAGGGTGGGGAGGCTTCCGTCCCTCCAGGCACATGAGCTCTATCAAGTTCCATTTCCTCCTCCAAATACTGGAGCAGTTTCAAGAGATGCTGGACCCCAGAAACTTTCCTAAGACATCCAACCCCCGCGCTCTCTGCAAGGCAGCCGACTCCCGGAGATGCAGAATGCTGCGTCCGCCTCCAAGATGCTAGGAGGGTATCGCTCTTTCCTAGCGAGTTAGTTCTAAGGGGGGCTTGCTAACAATTGAGAGTCACACCGGGGTAAGAGCTATACGCGGCGTCCATGCTGGCCCAGCGCTCCGGAACATTAACCCTTCTCGCTCTGCCACACGAGTCCACGAGCTCCTTGCTCAAATACTGCGTGTGCAAGCAGCTTGTCTCTCACCAGAGCCATCTCTAGCACGGGAGGGGATGCTGCAGCAGGCTGGTGAGTCACAGGCGTGTGTGAAAAGTGGCTGCAGGATACCAGGTGCACAGGAAGGATGAAGCCAGAACACACAGTGCCTGCAGCAGCGACTGTCAGAAGCAAACATCAAAGAGCAGGCAGGTGCTGAAGGGACTGGGAAAAGGGGAGAAGTCCCAGCGAAGAGTCACAGTGGGGAAGACGCACAGTAGCATTCCCTGGGCTAGGAGATGGGGAGGGAAAGACTGGTTCCACTGGCATCCAGCAGGTGAATGACAACTTGCCCCTTTACTTTACCACACTTTTGCCCCCATCAGTTTCTGACCAATTGTGTGTCAGCCCAGTGGGTTCACGCCAGCTGCCAGACCTGGAGCCGCAGGCCCCCTCTGAGCAGACAGAGGCCACAATGCAAGGAGCTCGTGTTTCCACGTGCCATGGACTGTCCAAGTTCTCCCGTGACACGTGAGAAGGACGCCAGCTCTGGGGAGGAACTTACAAGGCTCCATTGTGGCTGGGAGGGTGCAGGACCCCCATGTCTGGGACAGGCCAGCCAGAAGGTGCTGGAGCCAGACTGAAGGGTGCGTCCAGTTGCTGGCCAGCAGGGCTAGAAGCGCCCCCTCTGCAGAGCCGGGGGCGGGAGTAGCACAGAGAAGATGGCTACATAGCTAGGACCTGGATGATTAAACTGGCCTGGTGGCACCTGTGATGATGAAGCATGCCATTACCTCTCCAGGCTCCACGGCTGGCCTGGCTCTGCTCCCTTCCCCCAGCGGGCACTGGGTGCTGACGAGCCAGGTGTGCTGGCCCACCCTCTGACTTCACTCCAGCTCATCGGAAGAGTGAGTCAGAGTTCACGGTGCAGAGCGATACCAGAGGCCTCACCTGTGTTCCAGCCCTGGCGCTCCCACACAGCTACCCAGGAGGAGGGTAGGGACCGGGCTAGAGGAGGAACGCTCCAGGGAGACGTGTATGAACACAGATTCGCTCCCTCCACCCGTACACACGCCCACAGCATGCCCAGATGCACTCGTCCGTTTGCCTGCGCCCCAGCATGGGAACACCTGCACATTTCAGGCACTCCCAGCACTGCTGGCTAGGGAGCCGTGCCAGAGGCGGACTTACCTGAACATTTCGGTTACTTCTCCCTTCACCAAGGCCACGAGGAGAGGGAACCCAATGCAGGCAGGGACCAGGTACAGCAGGGCCGGCTGAGGGGGAGGAAAAACAGAGGCAATTACTGCATCCAACAGCCGGAAAAACCAACACAGCCTTCAGCAGAGGCCCTTGGGGAGGAACGGGACTGGCTCGTCTCGGGTTCACGGCTGGTCTCAGTCCCCAGATTATGGAGTAAGTCACACATGAGGGAACGCTGGGCACGGCTCAGGGCTAGGGCTCAGTGTCAGATCTTTCCTTGATGCTCCAGAAATCTGTAAGCATCGAGTCCCAACATATCCTGACGCCCGGGTAAGAACGTGACCAGAAGTCCCACACTCTGGCCCAGCACTCCCAGCGCAGAGCACTTCCAGGAAGGGGCGGGTGACACTTTACAGGTGCTGACTTTCTGATAGCCAAGGTCCCGTCTGCTTGTCTAGCACCCACCTGGATGGGGACTAATGATCTGGGGATACGGCCCTGGAGGAGGAGCGGAGAACCCCCAAGTACTGACCACCCCACTGCACCAGGCTAACGGAGTTATGTGCTGAGGGCACAGCGGCTGCCACGCTCGCCCATAGTTTCCACATCTTGTTCATTCCTCCCTCCCCTGCAGGGGGCAGCTGGAAGCATTGAAACTAGCCGGGTATTTCTGCTGCGCTTGCACCTGCTCTTGCGATCCAGAGACGAGCCCAGGAGAACATGCCGATACTCCCCGTTACTAAGGAGCAGGCGGTTCTCAGCGCACGAGCAGAGCTCCCCACTGACGTGATGGAGTCGCAAGGCCAGGCAGAACCACCCCCCTCCTCCAGAAGACAGGAAAGTGCAGTTATACTCAGAGATGCCCACAGCAGGCTCCACCTTTAGTGCCTGGGAATCCCAGAGCCAGTTTGCCCAATTTATAATCGGAGACAATTCATCAATGCACACTTCACCCGGGAGCTGAAAACCCTGCTGGGCTGGCTGCCTCCTGCGTCACCCCTGGCAGGACACACCCTGCAGGAGGATCTTAGCAGAGTTTTGCAGATGCATGAGGCTCTGCTGTACTAGCAGCAGTGAACAGATAGCACTCCGAGGGGCAGGCCCTAGTAACCTTTGCATTTAATGCAGTCTCTCCTCAGCCAGGTGCTCCACTCGGTTACGAAGCGCGCACCCCCAATATGAAAAGGCAAAGCGGAGCAGCTGTGTCTAGCCTCTCAGGGTGGTCACCACACAATCTCAGCTCAGAGATACAGAGTCGATTCTCTGCCCCCAAAGCAGCACTGTCCCCCTGATTGTAACACAAGTTCTGACCAAGCTTCCCCAACCTGCTGCTGCACTGGGCTGCCTGAGGCAGAGCGGTAATGGGCAGGGCACAGAAGACAGGGGATTCGCCGCCCTTGATGGCCGGGGACTGCAAACTGTGCAGTGGAAGGCGTCTTACAGATCCTCACTGCACCAACACAGGGAGAGCTTGGGGCCAAAACTGCAGTTTTGCAACTCCTTTGATAGCGTGAGGCGAGGCCAGTTGGACAGCAAGCTTACCTGGGCATGTTTGAAGATGTGCATGATGAAGATGGTCAGGCCCAGTCCAAAGATGTATGCCACAAAGCTGGTGTAGAAGTACGTGTGCGTGTTCTTCTTTAAACTACAGGGGGAGGGAAAAGAGCAGGATTAACATGTGCCCCAAACCACTCCAGCTTATGGGATTTGCGAGCTTTATCAGGACAGATCTGCAGCTGCCTAGCAATCTAGTGGAAACACATCCACACAGGAGACTGACATCCAGGCTGGCAGAGATCGGCGGCACCATTACTCCTGCCCATGCTCGGAGTGGTGCAGAGAGGATCTGGTGAGAGCACAGTCCAGTCCTGGAGGGGAGGCTACCATGACATGAGGTCTCTGGAAGGATCCTGGAACCCCCAGTCCTTACCCAATAAAAACACAAAGTGCCCTGCAGTCTTACCGCATTAACATGAGTGAGGAAGCTGCAGTGAGAAGCCCTCCACCAAGGGAGCAGCTCATAGACTCAGACTTTAAGGTCAGAAGGGACCAGTATGATCATCTAGTCTGACCTCCCGCATGATGCAGGCCACAAAAGCTGACCCACCCCCTTTCCCTTGACTCAGCTGTTGAAGTCCCCAAATCCTGTGATTTAAAGACTTCAAGTCACAGAGAATCCTCCAGCTAGCGACCCCCGCCCCATGCTGCGGAGGAAGGTGAAAAACCTCCAGGGCCTCTGCCAATCTACCCCGGAGGAAAATTCCTTCCCGACCCCAAATATGGTGATCAGTAGAACCCCGAGCATGCAGGCAAGATTCTCCAGCCAGACCCTCATTGACCATTGATACTATTTACCAGCGATGGCACGCTGTTGATTAATTTACTAAAATCACGTTATCCCATCAAACCATTCCCTCCATAAACTTATCAAACTTAATCTTAAAGCCAGAGAGGTCTTTCGCCCCCACTGTTTCCCTCGGAAGGCTGTTCCAAAATTTCGCCCCTCTGATGGTTAGAAACCTTCGTCTAATTTCAAGCCTAAACTTCCCCACCGCCAGTTTATAGCCATTCGTTCTCGTGTCCACATTAGTACTGAGCTGAAATAATTCCTCTCCCTCCCTGGTATTTATCCCTCTGATATATTTAAAGAGAGCATTCATATCCCTGTATCTCCCTGCACCTATTCCCCGGCTGGGCAGCTGTTTTACTAGAGGTCAGGCTGGGGCAGCAGCTGCAGGCAGAAACACCCGCAGCACTTCCAGCCCTGCACGGATCCATGTGGCAAGTGGAGCGTTTGAGGAGGAGTGGGAACCTAAGGGAGGCATGTTCAGTCGCCCATCTTCCAAGTGACGCAAGGTGACCACTGAGAAGTAGAGTCCCAGAGGCAGGCCGAACGCCGTGTGGGAAGGCCCTGCTTTCCCTACACATGGGAAAACACAGCCCTGGCAACAGATACGCACAGACAATGGGTCACATGTCCGGAGAAGTGCTTCTTGTGCGTGTGAGCGACAGGACCACTCCCAACAGCTTCTCACTGGCCTACACCATCAGCAACAGTGACCCTGAGCGCTCCTCTTCCCCGTCTCCATGTGCCCAACCACCCCAGTATTGCTGCCTCGCCTCCACTTCTCCCAGCTCCACCACAGCGGTCTCCTCTTGGCTCTTCCTCCAGGCCCAGCCCGTGCGGAATGCTGCTTTCACACGCACAAACGCAGCAGAGTTTCCAGGGTCAAACAACGTGACAGGGCCCCAGTCATTTCAGGGTCCAGATCACAAGTGACCACCCCCTGCCCATGGACTTTCCTGGTCCTTACAGACCTGATCTTTCTGGGCTTGTCTAGCACCAGGCTCTTTTCAGTCACAACGATTGTGGCCTTCTCCTTTGTTCTTCTGCTTTCTAGACTAACCCCGTGGCCTCCTGTTAAAGCTTCCCCATCTCAAGGCTCAGGGAGAGACGTCTGGCCACCCTGGCCTTCCTCCTCTAGTTCAGCAAAGCACTCTGGGGCAACTTACACAAATGCAGTGCAAAACAAAGCTGTCCTGTAGACATGCTCCTAGAGGCACAGCTCACCTGATGTCAAAACGCAGCAGCAGAGCAATGAAGATCCCTGAGGGGCAGAAACACAGAGTTAGAGAACGGGATGGAGAGATCACCTATCTGACAGCTGGTGCCAAATGCAGGGATGGGATGATTTTGTACCTGGCCACAACCACAAGCACATTTGGGACCACAGCACCCCCTTGTGGCTGAATTCAATATTGGTCCAGTACTAGCGAAACAATTCCTGACTCCCTTGGTATTGTAAAGCAGTGGTTCTCAACCAAGGCACATGTACCCTGGGGGTACACGGAGGTTTTCCAGGGGATATGTCAACTCATCTTGGCTCCATAAAAAGCCCTAGCGAAGTCAGTACAAACTAAAATTTCATACAATAACTTGTTTATACTGCTCTATATACGGAAATTTAAGTACAGTATTTATATTCCAATTGATTTTATAATTTGATGGTAACAATGAGAACGTCAGCCATTGTTCAGTAATAGTGGCTGTGGCCACTTTTGTATTCTTATGTCCGATTTTGTAAGCAGGTAGTTTTTAAGTGAGGTGTAACTTGGGGGTACGCAAGACAAGTCCCACTCCTAAAAGGGGTACAGGAGTCTGGACAGGTTGAGAGCCACTGCTGTACAGCACCCAACCCCAACCCCTCGCTGCAAAGGGAAACGGCAGGAGGGAGAGGCACTGAAGATCAGGGGAGTAAAATACAGGGGCACTATGCTGGGGCACAGGGCAGAGCAAGCCACAGGAGGGAATGCACCCAAACCCACATGCTCACCCCTCTTCTTTTCAGACAAGTGGTCCCTAGCCTGGAATTCAAACTGGTGACCAAGTGCTGCTGTCTCCATCACCATGCTGGGCAGCACCCGAGCACATTCCTTAAGGAACACTTCCCTGGCCCTAACGTACCAGGCCGCACACTAGAGCTAGATTACGAGACCAGGCCCAGCACATCTGCGAGCACCACTAGCTGTGCTGTCAGAAGCTCCCCCCTTCAGAGAACACTATTCAGTCTAAAATGCTTCCCACCAGTTTCTTCCCTAGGGGCCTACGGTAGCAGTCGGGAGGGAAAGGGATCTCCTGAGAGTCCAAACCCTGAGAGGGGGGCGGCATCAAATCCCTGCATCAGCGCTCCCAAGGAGCGCAGCCCAGGCCAGCCAGCCCCAGCTCCCAGCACGGCTGACTTGAGAAGGTCTCCGGCAGCCCCACGCTGTGAGCCTGCAGCAGGCTCTATATCAATGCATACAACGGAGCCATCTGGCGCTAGGACTGGCAATGGCCTTGCTGCAGATCAGCATGGCAAACAAACTCCACAGCTATCATGACAGCTCCAATGCCAACACCTGGCTTCCCTCTACAACCTTTCCCATATGCCTTCCCCTCTCCTACTCCCAGCCTCAGGCTCCCCAAAAGCCAAGGGCTTCTCCAATCTCCCTTTGACAGCCTCCATTCTGGGCTCCCCCCCACTTCAGAACCACGAGACCTCGTCCTCATTCAGCTCTTATGCAGAGGATTCCCTGGTTGACCTGTAGCCAGTCAGCCGGATTTGTAGTGTACAGTCCACACCCAGGCCCCAGCAGGCCAGAGTCCAGGCACCAAAATCGTATCCTTGGTCGAGTAACACACGTTCTATTAACAAACCATCCATTCATCTTTACCTGGAATTACAACATCTCCAAGGCCCAACATGGCAAAGTTGTCAGCCTCCAGCCCCTTCTCCAGCAGATCCTGGGGGAAAACCACTGGAAAAACAGAAAGGGAGCATTAAAAAGGGGAAGAGAGAGACAAACTAACAGGAAATTTTTGTAAGTACATCAGAGGCAATAAGTCTGCCAAGCAACCAGTGGGGCCAGTGGACGATCAAAGCACTGATGGAGCACTCAAGGAAGCCAAGGCCTTTGCAGAGAAGCTAAATGAATCCTTTGCATCAGTCTTCACTGCCAAAGATGCGAGGGAGATTCCCCCACGTGAGCCATTCTTTTTAGGTGACAAATCTGAGGAACTGTCCTAGGTGGGGGTGTCACTAGAGGAGGTTTTGGAACAAACTGATAAATTAAACAGTCATAAGTCACCAGGACCAGATGGCATTCACCCAAGAGTTCTGAAATAATTCAAAGGTGAAACTGCAGAACTACTAATTGTGGTACGTAATGTATTATTTAAATCAGCCTCTGTACTAGATGACTGGAGGATAGCTTATGTCACGCCAATTTTTTTTAAAAGGCTCCAGCGGCAATCCTGGCAATTACAGACCAGGTGAGTCTAACTTCAATACCAGGCAAATTGGTTGCAACTATAGTAAAGAACAGAATGATTAGACACAGAGATGAACACAATATGTTGGGAAAGAGTCAACACAGCTTTTGTAAAGAGAAATCCTGCCTCGATCAATTCGAATTCTTTGAGCAGGTCAAACTTGTGGAAAGGGTGATCCAGGGGATATAGTGTACTTGGACCTTTAGGAAGCCTTTGAAAGGGCTCTCACCAAAGGCTCTTAAGCAAAGTAAGCGGTCATGGGATAAGAGGGATGGTCCTCATGGACCAGTAGCTGGTTAAAAGAGAGGAAACAAAGGGTAGGAATAAATGGTCAGTTTTCACAGAGGAGAGAGGTAAATAGCCAGGTCCCCCCAAGGATCTGTACTGGGACCAGTGATGTTCAACATATTCATAAATGATCTGGAAAAAGGGGTAAACTGGGAGATGGCAAAGTTTGCAGCTAATACAAAACTAGTCAAGATAGGGAAGTCCAAAACAGACTGAGAAGAGTTACAAAGGGATCTCACTAAACCGGGTGACCAGGAAAGAAAATGGCAGATGAAATTCAATATTGATAAGTACAAAGTCATGCACATTGGAAAACAATCCCATACATACAACATACAAAATGATGGGCTCTAAATTAACTGTTGCCACAGAAGAAAGATCTTGGAGTCATTGTGGATAGTTCTCTCAAAGCATCTGCTCAATGTGCAGTGGCAGTCAAAAAAGCTACCAATGTTACTAACCATTAGGAAAGGGATAGACAAGACAGAAAATATCATGCCACTATATAAATCCATGGTATGTCCACACCTTGAATACTGCGTGCAGTTCTGGTCACCCCATCTCAAAAAAGATGTATTCAAACTGGAAAAGGAGAAGGGGCAACAAAAATGATTAGGGGTATGGAACAGCTTCCATATGAGGAGAGATTAAAAAGACTGGGACTGTTCATCTTGGAAAAGAGATGGGGGGGGGATATGATATAGGTCTATAAAATCATGAATTTTGGCATGGAGAAAGTGAATAAGGAAGTGTTAGTTACTCATTCACATAACACAAGAACCTGTGGTCACCCAGTGAAATTAATAGGCATTAGGTTTAAAACATACATAAGGAAGTACTTCTTCATAGAACACAAAGTCAACCTGTGGAACTCCTTGCCAGGGGATACAATGAAGGCCAAAGTATTACTGGGTTCAAAAAGGAATTAGATACATTCATGGAGGATGGGTCCATCAATGGCTATTAGCCAAGATGGTCAGGTATACAACCCATGCTCTGAGTGTCTCTAAACCTCTTACTTCTAGAAGCTGGGGCTGGACAACAGGAGATGATCACTCGATAAATTGCCCTGTTCTGTTCGCTCCCTCTTTAGCATCTGGCATTGTCCACTGTCGAAAGATAGGATACTGGGCTAGATGGACCATTGGTCTGAGCCAGTATAGCCGTTATGATGTTCAAAAGTGTTTCCTTTACTTTCTAAAACGATTAGCTGGGAGATTCCGTTGTTCCCTGGAGAGTTACTAAGCCAAATCTGGAGACTAAGAGGGATTCTATGAGCCAACAGTGTCTCCTTGTTGCCAAGAAGGCTAACAGCATATTGGGCTGCATTAGTAGGAGCATTGCCAGCAGATCGAGGGAAGTGATTATTCCCCTCTATTCGGCACTGGTGAGGCCACATCTGGAGTATTGCGTCCAGTTTTGGGCCCCCCACTATAGAAAGGATGTGGACAAATTGGAGAGAGTCCAGCACAAGGCAATGAAAATGATTAGGGGGCCTGGGGCACATGACTTACAAGGAGAGGTTGAGGGAACTGGGCTTATTTAATCTGCGGAAGAGAAGGGGGGGGGGAGGGAGTTGATAGCAGCCTTCAACTACCTGAAGGGGGGTTCCAAAGAGGATGGAGCTCGGATGTTCTCAGTGGTGGCAGATGACAGAACAAGAAGCAATGATCTCAAGTTGCAGTGGGGGAGGTCTAGGTTGGATATTAGGAAACACTATTTCACTAGGAGGGTGGTGAAGCACTGGAATGGGTTACCTAGGGAGGTGGTGGAATCTCCATCCTTAGAGGTTTTTAAGGCCCAACTTGACAAAGCCCTGACGGGGATGATTTAGTTGGGGATTGGTCCTGCTTTGAGCAGGGGGTTGGACTAGATGACCTCCTGAGGTCTCTTCCAACCCTGATATTCTATGATTCTATTCCAGCTTTACATGCAAATCCCCACGTAGCCTGAACTGGGGAGCGGCTACCAACACCCCAGAATACTGCAGATTCCATGGCTTCAGGTGCCTTTCAGATCGTATGTCTGATGCACCTGCCTTGTTCAGTGGCTGTAAAAACTCACTTCACAAGTCTGAGGTGACCCTGAGTCCCCATGATTTCCACCTTAAAGGCTTTGTATTGACCCCCTTCACTGGCTGGGCCAGGTCTCTGCAGATATTCCCGCCCCATCATGAGAGACCTGAATGCCCACATCCAATGCTACCCTGCCTGGCAGGTGTATTGTACTTCATGGCGTGCCAGTGACAGGACACACCGAAAAGACCTATACCGAGCAAATGGCCGCGAGAGGATCCAAATTCCTCATGGGCAGAATGCAAGCAGGAGTAGGATTACAACCCTGAGGGAGGGAGCCCAGGAAAGAATCCACTCATGGACAGGGGCACGCACAATAGAATGTAAAACGAGTCAGGTGGAGCACAAAGCCCAGGCAGTGAGGGTGATGGGCAGGAGACAGGACAGGTCCTCTCAGGAAGCAGGAAAGATCTACTCACGTTTTATTGGTGCCTCAAACGATTTGGCAACAGTCACCATCACGTTGGTGCCAAAAACCTAGGAGCAAACAACAGTCCCAAGTGAAACCATAGACCCAAGTAATAACGAAAAGTCATTCCACTATAGCTGCCTAGCTGCAGCTACCGCCACCAGAGCCAGTTGTGGTCACAGCAGAGACCAAGCTCCCGCCAGTCACAGAATCACACTATTCATTTTCTACTGATTCACATTCGTTGACTGTGAAGCCAGAGTAACAGGTGTGCAGCAATTCTCCCAAAAGAGCCATATTTCTGGAGTTTAAAGTACTCGCTCTCCACACCCCCACATCATATCTTGTTTGAAAGATTATTTTAGGTACGTTTAGATGAAGTATTATGTGGGACCGTCAAGTGGTGCCATAAGATTGCACACAAGGTGAAACAATGGTACACAAAACGAGTGTCATTTTTTTTTTTGCACTGTTCCAGAAACACTAACGTGACGATGACTGGAGTTTTTACTGTTGAAATTAATTTCAACACCTTATTGCGGTGTTTATTGGTGAAAATTACCAAACACCACAATGTATTAAAAGATCTGTATTGGTTTTGCATGGGTGTTTTTCCCAGAAATTATGCTGTTCAGCACGTGGCAAATGTGATGAATATCAACATTTTGCAATACAGTAACATGAACTGTTTTCACATCACGTGAGATACTTTGACAATTAAGAAGTGATTAGAATAGATTTCCTATATTTGTAATTGAAATTTGCTGACCAGACCAGTTTCACACTGAAGGTTGTGAACCAGTAACAGTAGATCGCATGCTCCTAGCTTGCCCTGCACGGTGGGTAGATATAAATGTACGTGGATTCCTAATGTAATGCTTTTCCCTTTGTAAATACAACATCGCATTTAGTCTGCCTGGTAGAAGGTTTTTAATTTGCAATTGCCTATACTAGCAGTACTAGTCTTTGAAATATTCTAGAAACTAGCTTTTTAATCCAGTGACACTTTATGCACAGATCAGTATTGGTGTTAAAGATGACAATACACAGCTTCATATCATGAATACGCAAAAGCTTTGAGAGAAAGAAGTGGCCTAACAAGAAGTAGTGAAGACAAACCCCACAAACCCCTTTCCTCGGCACTGAAGGGAGATGAAGAGCATGTTACAGCTCTTACCAACCACGTGAGCAATAATATGACAAACCCACTTGACCCTTTATCACATCTAGAGCAACATTTCTCAAATGTGGCCACTAGGGGCTTTTCTTGTGGTCATAGCTTCTTGGGTGGTGATTTGGGGGGTAGGGAGGAAAGGAGCAGCCCCTCTTCTGGGGCTGCCAGGAGGGGTTGGGGCTTGCCCCCCCTTGGAGCCACAAACACTGGAGGAGCAGACATCCGGAGTGAGTTGCCCATCTTCCCAGTGCAGTGGGGCTCAGGCTTCTGGCTTCAGCCCTGGCGTGGCGGGTGGCAGGCTCCGGCCACGGGCTCTGACCGTGAGGCTTTGGTTACTCAGCGGTAGGCTCCATCCCTTGGCCACAGGACTCCATCCCCGGACTCACCACCCCATCATGGCCCCTGCTGCCTTCCCTGCCCACTTCCCCATCCAAGCCTTAATTTGTTTCCCGGCTTGCCAGGGCTGAATAAGTCTGCTGTGAAAAGTGATATTGTATATTTGTTAATATCAGTTTTCACTGCCTCTCAGCCAGCTAACAAGTCTGTTAATATAACTTTTCACAGCAGCAAACATACAAATATCACTTTTCACAGAAGCAGACTTACTAGCTAGCAAGTCTAAAAAATGCAGCAAAAAAAGCAAAAGAAACAATAATAAAAAAAAACAAGAACATGCAAAGCACCTTATTTGTGTTTCTAGTCTGTTTAGGTCCAGTAAAGAACAGAGACAACTGTACGTTATTTTTATTAAGTCCGCAAAAAAAGGTACATAATAAATTAGAATGATTTGGACATAGACACGTGCATATTTGTTTTTCCTAAAGTTGATTAAGTATTTTAGGAAAAATTGTCAAGCGGCCAACAGCAAGAGTTGGTGGCCGCACTCTGAAGCGCCGAAATTTTTTTTTGTGAGAACACCTGCTCATAAACTCATAGACTTTAAGGTCAGAAGGGACCATTATGATCATCTGGTCTGACCCCCTGCATGCTGCAGGCCACAAAACCGTCCCTACCCTTTCCTTGACTCTGCTGATGAAGTCCCCAAATCCTGTGTCTTAGTGACTTCAATTGGCAGAGAACCCTCCTGCTAGAGATCCCTGCCCCATGCTGCGGAGGAAGGCAAAAAACCTCCAGGGCCTCAGCCAATCTACCCTGGAGGAAAATTCCTTCCCGACCCCAAATATGGCAGTTAAGCTGGTGTAAATGCAACAACTTT